TCTTAATTAATTCTATTGAACAATTAAATTTTAATTAAGTTGTTAGCACATTTTGGCAGGTAAGTAATTTTTAATAATTTGTAAGGTTAAAAATATAATAATAATCAGCGAATAAATAAATTATCATTTATCGATTTACTATAAATTTCAAAAATTTTGAAAGATTATACATTTATCAGAAAGCTACATTATTAAATATGCAAAATATTAGATAATAATAACTAAAACTAAAATCTTATTTGTTTTAGGTCTCACAGTGTAAGCCAAGTTCTGATCCAAATACTGATTGTAATGGAGCGATTTACGTGAAAACCGATGGAAAGTCTGTTTATGTGATTGATTTTAATGAGCAATAGAGATTACGTACTCAAATTATCATTTTTTAAGTATTACTTTTTTATTAGTTTACAAATATTACATTTTTACTAATTTTTTTACTTTTCACTATTGCTATTGTAAAAAAATTTTGAAAAGTGATATAATTAAGAGCTATAAAATAAATAAATAGACTTTATAATGATTTGTCATATGTTTAAAAAGGATACAGAAAGTTTCTATCTGATAATTGAGGAATTAAAATTAACAAAAAATTAAAGTTCAGTAATTTTGATCTGAAAATTTCTGATTCTAAAAATGCAATGCAAACAAAGACTACAAATGAAAACATTTGCTCGCATGTGAAATTTAATAATATAATTGTTAACTTTGAACTTTGGGATAGCAATTACAGTCTAAAACATAACTTTCATTTAAATTTATTTGAAGTTTGTTGAAGGAAACAATTTTGCACAAGTCATGCTGACTGCTACAACTACAGAGAGCCAATATTTTGGTGCCGACCAAATTCATTTCAAAAATGGACGTTAGAACTTTATTTATTTTAAAAATAATTAACTTTATCTTTAACTTTTAATATTATTTCTCAATAGAAATATAGTAATTGTGATATTTTTTAATTTAAAAATTTCATGTATTTTAAAAATTATGAATAGTAATTGATAAGGTAAAGGTATCCTCATAATCTTAATTTAATTTGTGCATGCATTTAGATTACTTTAAAATTTGATTAGATAATAGCTAAAGACTTAATTTCGGTAATTTGACTTGTTGATTATTTTATTACATGAAAATTTAACGTAGAACATCGCAAAAAGTATTAATTGACTTAGTAGATCACGTAAGTGCTATGAAATTTATTGTGCGGATTACGTGATTGTGCTTTAAAGATTGCCATGTTTTGTGTTTCATTTTGTTCAAATTTGAAAAAATCATTTCAATTGTGATCATTAAGTAAATTTCGTAGCAGTTACGTGACAATCTTTGTTTATTATCTTATTTTTTATAATAATAAATGCCTCAAAATAGTTATTCCATCGTTGGCATTTTAGTACTAAAAATGAATATCTGAAGTGACAAAAAAAAGCTTTGCAATAAATTAATTAATTCATTTATTAAAGAAATTACCTTTTTGATATTGCAGACATGAAGGCTGTCACTGTGACATTAAGGTACAATCATGCGTGATAAATCGAAAATCATACGGTACCATGGAATACAGTTACTGCCGTGATGCATCTGATTGGTATTGTCTATAACAGTCAAACTTTTTGCTTTTTCGCACATCAATGGAAAAATTTTTAATATATAAAGCAGAGTTTAGAGGCAGCTCAACCTCTAACCTTTGTTTTGAATTTAATTGTTGATCCGGAAATCGAAATGATTAGCGTATACTCTGAATGATTCTTATGCTCATCTAATCATGAAGATAACTAACGTTATTATATAGTTCCTAGTGAATTTTGCAAATTCATTAATTTTTAAAGTAATCATAACTTTGCAAACACTTATATCAATACTGTTTAACGCACAATATTGAAAGTATGAAGAGTGATTATATTGAATTTTCATATTTGATCATATTTTGCACAAATTAATGCAAAAAAGTTAAATCAAACGTTTTAAGTAAATTTTTGTTCAATTTTGCTCAAAATACTAAAATATTTTAAATAAAATTTAAATATCTGTGGCTTATAAACACTATAACTGATATCAATTAAGATATTCAAATTGATAGTAAAGACGCAAATAAGAGCTATTTTATGAATATTTAGCGCTTTCAGTAAAGTGAAAATGAATTTCAGAAATTTGCATTATTGTTGCAATCATCTGAAGAGCATTCTGATTGAATAAATAAAAATTTGAATTTTCCATGCATAATATTCTATACAATTTAACAAAAATGGATTCAATTTTACATAATTAACACTAAAATTGCACAAAATTCATATATTTGCAACAATGTCAAGTCCGATAGTCAATTCACTTCTTAAATTTGAATAATAAATATATTATTGATGAATTACCATTATGGGGTTATCAGATGCATACTAATTTTTTTAACTGATAGTACTGTTTTTCTACAAAAAGTATCTTTACATCCATTCAATAAAAAAAGATTCTGATGCCATAACTTGTTCTTTTCTTTCCACATAAACAGTATGATTGAATTTTTTGATATAAAGCTTTTGTAAAAGTTCAACCATAATTTCTAGTTTGTTTACATGTTGTTTTCTTGTAATGTTTTTCCAAAAAAGTTTTTCTGTAAAAATTATTTGCACAGCAGTAAATTTCTATAACATTCAAAACAACTAAACCTATAAAAGGTTAAAAAAAATCTCAGTAACAATCATCAATAGTAGCTTTTTATCACGTTTTATCAAGTTAAACTGTAAATTGTCTAAAATGATAGTAACAGAAAATTAGCAGTTTTTAGTTTTTCAAAAAAGAATTTTTATAAAAACCGAAACACACTTTTAAATTTTTCTCACGATTAATAATGCATTTGAAGTTATTAACCATTTGTTATTAATATTAATCTTCATCATTTTTTCAGAAATGATTAAATTGCTAGTCTTACTTGTCATGTAAGTGAACATTACCAATTTAAGCTGAACGTTATTATAAAATAACTTAACAGATTTTCACACTAAAAAGTACTTCACAAAAAATGCAACTTTGTGTATTTTAGTGTATACTTAAAAGTTATTTATTTTTAATAATTCTGCAGCATCAATTTAGCGCTGATTATAAGCATGCCGCATTATTCAGTAAACTGACAAATTGTCAAAATTTATTCTTGAAGAAATGACTCTAAAATATAAATTCAATGAATTCTGTCTTACATTAAAGATAACTATTAAACAACTCAAAAAATCTTCTTGTTTATAATCAAATTCTTTGTGAAAATTTCATTCCACTAATAATCAAAATGCAATAAGAATCGTTCAGATGTTCGATAGCTTTCGGAAGACATACTGTACAGGTAAATAGTTGTTTTGATAAATCTGTTCTTGACAGTGTTGTGACATTTAGTGGTACGGTAGTCATAAATAAATTATTATTTCAATAAATGTATTACAATAGTACTAAAGTAAGTAATTCAAATTAACTTATGATATTTCTATATTAAAACTTTGTTCATTTCAGTTCAGACATTTGTTTGCACCTAATTCTGATCCAAAAATATTAGGTCCTCATCAAATGCCATTTAATGAAAACGGTGCAAGATTTGTGAAAACAAATGGAAGGTATGTTTGATGAATTGTGAAAAATGTTCAAATCTGTTTTTAAATTAAATTAGACTTCAAAATTTAAATAAAAGGTATTTATAATTTCAGATTTTTGAATGATATCATCCATACTTCATCTTAAAGATTTTAATAATGCAAAACACTTCTGTCAATTTATCAAAAAAAATTGTACAATTATGCAGTTCAATTTAATTTTTTTCATGGTATAAAAGTTTGAAAACCTTAAATTGATATAAAGTATTACAAATTTTAACGTAAATATAACTTTGCTGATTGATTGTAGGCCAAAACTGTGCACAACTACTAGCGATTGTGATGATCACAGAGAACCAACAGATTGGTGCCGCCCTTCGTATTATGAATCCTGGACGTAAGTTAACATCTTACAAAAACTTACAGCTTTTAAAGTAATTTCTTATCTAAAATATATTTTAAAAAACAGACTGTAAACAACA